CAGCAACAAATGCGAAAACTATGATCATATCAAAAGAAAATTTGCTGTTGTGACCGCTGAACTTGACTCATTGAAAAATCGTCTTGAAAATACTGAATTTATTTTTAACAAGTTCGATGGGTCAAGTGAAGTAGTTGCAAAAATGATTGAGAAACAAATGCAGTGGAAGGACATTACCTGTGGAAACCAAAAGAAAGTAGGATTAGGTCTTGAGAATGTCCCTCCTCCATTCAATCATACTTACAATGTTATTCCTCTATCTCAAGAAGAAATTGATAGAGAACCTTTCATGATTTATGGAAAGCCTGCTGCTGAACAAGCAACATGCTCTACTGATAAAATTTTGGATACTAATATTTCTACCTTAAGTGCAGATGTGTCAGTAGTTCAGGGGGAGCATGAAGCTGAAAAGTCTGAATCAAATAACTCTGTGTCTAAATTTGGTGTTGAGTTTTGTGATGAGTCTGTCTTAAATTCTAAAACTGATGTGTTTGTTTCTGGTGGCGTGTTATTTTAGAATGATAAGATTGAAAATAATGATGTTGTTTCTGATTATGTTGCTAAATCTGATTCGAGTGCCTCTACCTCTTCCACGTTTGCAACATAACCTAGTGCTTGTTCTTGCAAATGTGCTAATGCTAGAAAAAATAAGAAAACATAGAAATCTGACAAGAGCAGTACCACTTCAAATGATAATAAACAAATCTGTTTCGACTGTGGTACTGCTGGTCATATTGCCAGAAATTGCCCAAACCGGATGTTTGTGCATCACATGTCTAAAAGAGGAGAGAATGAGTCTAGAGGACGATCTTTAATTAGAAGATCCTCCAGAACTCGCTCTCGAGATGATGACTAGAAAACAAATCAAAACAAGAAAATGGCAAGTTTTCAAAAGAACAAACAGGTTTTCAATAAATTCACAAACAGTTTGCCAAAATCGAACCAAGCTAAGCCAAAGTCGATTTCGTCAAAGAGTAGGTCTGGATCTTCAAACTCTTCGAGTAGAAAATCCACCGGCTCAAAGCAAACTGAGAAGAAAGCTATTTCAAAACCTAATTTTCAATGGTTGCCAAAAATAAAATCTGATTAGTCATCATCCTCCTCTGTATCTGTTGAAAAAAAAAATTGGAGACGTCACTTTGAGAACACCACTAACTCCTTCTGTCTAGGTTGCCCAACATTATGGACAGTGTCAAAGAAAGCATCGAGGTCTTCACTGCTTAACCTTATATCATTATCCGTAGTCCATAAGCTGATCTGTGAGACACTCAACAAGCTACACTTTAACTCAGGAGCGTAGATGACGTTCTCAAAACTCAGCACTCCATTTACAACTATCCCTTTTTGAGTGATCTTCCCTCCATCTCCTCCTGCGAAGGAAACACAGCCCCCATTAAAAGTCTGAATGACGTGCAGTTGGGAGATGTCTCCTGTCAATGTGCCTGGAACAACCGCTGTCGACGTACCAAGGTTTGACGACATTCCTCCGCAGCTGTTCCTGCACAATGAGTGGGATTATTTAGGTTTGGGAACCCAGGTCATTACAAGCCTGGGTTGACCAACAACTGAGAGGGTTTACGGCCGCACAAGGGATTACTGCCGTACACTTGATTACGGTTGTACACGGGTGTACGGCCGTACACCCGTGTACGACCGTGGAACGGATCACAACCGTACACGCCAACCGTACACACCCAACCGTACACATTTCAACCGCACACACCAACCGCACACACACCAACAGTACACTCAACCGCACACGTTCAAAGACCTAACCGCACACCTTCAAAGTCTCAACCACACACCTTTAAAGCTCCAGCCGCACACCCAAAAATACTCAAAAGCCACAACTATCTTCAACCGCACACTCTTATGATTCTTCAAATTGACACTGATTAGGCTCTGATACCAATTGTAAGTCCCGATCTATAGGTCCAAATCAGTGATCAATGAATTGCAAGCAATCAAACAAAGTGTAGAAGGAGTAGAAGGAGAATTAAGCCAAGCATGCACACATCTATTACGCATAAATGTCAGGTACACCTTGGGAAACACATACACATACGTCACTCACATATATCACCTAATACTGACACAGACACCTACTATTTATAGCAAACCCAGCAGCACACCAGTGTACAGCCACACACGCGTGTGCGGCCGCACACAGGGTGTACGGCCGCACACACATGTACGACCGCACACAGCCACACAAAAGTTACAACCATCATAACAAACCCCAAAGCCTACCAAGACCTATACAAGATGAATGCCTAGCTCTAACCACAAAATTGTGACATAACAAAGACTAGCCATGGTTTTCATTAACATAATCAAAAAGTCATACCTCTTTATCCCATTTCTATTTTCGGCCATGCCTCAAAAAGGAAGAGAAGTTGGTTAAATTTTATAAACTATAAGTTTATAGAATATAAATTGTGTCTTTAGGTAAAAGACAAAAGGATTCAACTAGTCCAAAAGGTTGTACATGACTTATTAATTCATACCATATGAATTACATAATGTTACTTGCTAATGAAAACTATTATTTCCTAGAAATAAATAATTTCCTATTTAAATATAAGAGTTTATTTAATATTTATTAAAATCAATTTCTAATAAGTAATAAATTATATCAATTTGTTGTTAGTGTGAACCGTTAGTATCATATGTTAATTAACAATATCACTATAATATGATTCTTGAGCATATTAGATCTTTCAAACTCCTACTTGTGTAAGATTCATATCAGACTGATATAGACAGTGGTGAACGTCTAACAACATCTCACTGCCCGCATCAACATACGAGTTTGTGCCATTCTATCAACGCCCAATTCCCAAAAAACTCCGAGCTACAACTGGTGTATAAGGTAAGTTTATCAGTTATCCCTTTGTCACAGACAGCATGTTAAACATGACATACAGATCACAATCAATCTCATTTGGTGTTCAACTTTTGGTAAGGTGCGTTAGATTTCCAACTCTCAACACATAAGAGGAACAAATCCCATCTTGACTACATAAGCCTCTTGCATAGTTCATACCATACCTGAAAATAACTTTTATAACTTCCCGGTTAAGGACCAACATTTGACCATATCTAAGCATAATACTCCCTACACTTAAGTCTCACTATGTATCTCAGGTGTTAAGGATACAAAGATAGTACCTTTTAATCAAGTGTCATTCATGATAGCGATCCATGAGATGATCTTGTTGCGGGTCAGTTCAATACCAGTTCTCTGACAAGTACCTATGAAACTTGGTTACAACCCATTACCTACCTTCATCCAGTGAAAGTCAACCAATCCAATTCATATTAGTCATACTTCATAATTGCTCTCACAATTATAACCGACTATAAACTTTTAGAATAATAAGATTATTCATGGATTAAACATGTTAATATAGAACACAACAAGTATTGATGTTATGATCATATCCCAATATATCAAAACATTATATAATAGTTTTTGTTACAATGTTCCAATATCCAATACTAAATCCAAATCCAAATCCCATTTCTAGAATAATAAAGTCTTATGGCTGAAGTGTGACCATTCATACTTAGCTAAGAAGAAGGACTTTATCAATGGGTTCAACTAGAATTAATTTGTGTGAATTCTGCGAGTACTATCATCTCCATATTTGACTTTACTCTAGGTTTAGTTAAATATCTTGGAGTATATGATTGGTGTTATTTTGTGATATAGAGTCTCTTATCTTGATTAAGTATACTCTCGAAATCACAAAGATTTCTATGTGATCCTTGAATGGTAGAGATCAACATTGCTTTTCAATGAACTCATTCATCCAATGATATTAGATTTCAACTTCTAAAGTAGTGTATTCGTATTTTGTAGTATATTGTGTCATTTTTGTTTTGCATGGACCTCATTCCAACTAAGCTTACTCTCCATCCCTCAATGAAGTCATAATACAATTACAATTCATAATTATATACATTTGTTTAGAATCAGAATCTTATGTAGCTCTTTACATGAAGATTTTTTTCTAAACTATACGTCTCATATACATCCTCTTAGTTCTTCCAAAGTACTCTTAGAATGTTTCTATAGTCATCCGGTGACTTAACCAGGTATTCAATTGGTATATTATGATGTGCTCATAGCATGATCATACACCAGGTCTTATGCATAATATTGCAGAAATGACAGATTCATTTGCCAAGCAAATCGAATATAAATCATTTCAACTAGTTCAAACCAGATGAATCTTCTATCTTGATCTCTTTGAAGACATTGTCAATATATCACTACTAGAAAAATACCCTTTAATGACGCGCAAACCATGACACGCGTTGTTTTACGATACGTAAAAGTGTGTGCCCTAAAAATAATGTCAGTTCTTCCAAAATGTGAAGGATTTAGGACGCGCATTTTTGTGTGCCCTATCAAAAAAAAACACGGAGGGCACCTATCTTAAAAAACGTATCGTGAAATCATGTCGCTTTATATTTTTTTTAATGAAACACGCATCTTCATCTTTAGTAGCAGCGGGAAAAGGAATTCCCAAAAAAATTAGAAAAGTTGAAAACCCCGCCATGGTGATTTAGGGTTGGTTCCGTCTCCATCTCTCGTTTACTTCCATCTCAACTTTCTCTTCCATCTACAATCTCTCTTTCCAGCGATGAAGGTTTCTCAGGATTTTTTGTTGTACTTACAAGCCCTAGGTCCTGATGCGTGATGCATGCGTATCTTGCAGCTGATGCGTTCTTTGGATTTTTAAGCAATCGTGATATAGAACAAACGTCCCCTCTCCCACCTCCCATAATGTCAAAATCCTGAAACTGCCTCTACGATTGATTGAAGTTTTTATTTGTTAGTCTTGAACCGAAATCAGTTCCACGATTGATTGAAGTTTTTGGAGAAATCTCGGCAGCGAATTTCATTGAATTCTAGTTCTGAAATATGAATATTTTAGCTTTGAATCTTATTGAAATGAGCTGAATCATTTATTGAAATTTTGCAGCGAAGTATGGATCTAAATCAGAAGCGAACCAAAACGGTTGACCGAGTCGATCCGGTTGATCCTGCTGAGGTGTCGCCGGAATCAACTCCAGTGTATCCGTTTCCTGACAAGGTTCTAGAACCGGTGCTCTCGCTGATAAACTCTCACAAGGACCGCAGTTCTGTGTCTATAGTATGTAAATACTGGTACAATGGTGAGCGGTGGAGCAGACATCATGTGTTTATCGGAAATTGCTACTCGGTGTCGCCAGAGATTGTAGCCGGGAGGTTTCCTCAAATTCGGAGCGTGACCTTGAAGGGGAAACCGAGGTTTTCGGATTTCAATTTAGTGCCGGAGGATTGGGGAGCTGATGTTCATCCATGGTTGAGTGTTCTCACCAAAGCGTATCCATTCCTGGAGGAGCTGAGACTGAAGAGAATGGCAGTTAGCGACGAGAGTTTGGAGTTTCTAGCGACGAACTTTCCAGAGCTTAAAGCTCTATCTCTATTGAGTTGTGATGGATTTAGTACTGATGGGTTGAAAGCAATTGCTACTCATTGTAGGTAAAATTTCTACTTTTATTCTCGATGTTAGAGCTAAATATGTTCTCCAAGGTGCATATATCACTTTATCTGTTCAACATCCGTCGTACCAATTCATATGAATTTGTCAAATTAGGTTTCGTTTGCTGTAAGAGACATAAATCTGATCACTTTATTCTTGTATTTGATCTTGATGTTATCGGATCACACTGATTTTGTTGTTATTGTTTGAAAATTTTGAAGATCTGGAAGCTTTACACATTCATATCCATTTTGTTGAAGATCTAATACCCATCTTATCTTCAGAGTAGTTCCCAGCTGGTACCCTATTTTTCCTTATCTCCTGTGCAAGTTTAATCTGTTCTTTCATTGTGTCTGCTAAAACTTAATGAAGATCACTTCTCTTAAAATATGAATATATTTTCCATATTATATAACAAGTTTGCATATAAATTTTCAGTCAAATTTTTAGAAACATTTTTAAATGTCCTGATTGTCGTGAGAGTAGAGAATACACTAACAAGGAGGACCTCTTGTCACACCCCCAAACCGAGATGGCGGAAACATTCGGGGGCGGAGGACGTCATATACAGTATGCTAACAATGCACAATAGTAAAATAAGCAACAACATCCATTGCATTAATAGAATAGTAAATACATGTGTGTTTAGAGTATAGTTCTAATACACCAAAAGTGTATATAGCAAAATATAAAAGACGAGTCTTGAACATGCTCCGTCTTCTCAAAAACCTGATCCAGTGTACCTATCTCATGGTTCCCTGAGAATAAAAGTTATTTTGAAAGAGAGTATCAACATTTAAGTTGGTGAGTTCATAAGTATTTAATGTCAAATGTTTGGGTTTGTTTCATGAAAATGTTTGTATTTGTTTAGTAAAACGTTTGTATACTTCTCAGAAAATCCTATATTTTCTTCTAAAAATGAAAGGTAGTCTTCTACCCAGGACCTGACTGTTTTGTATGTTTGTTCTCTTGTAAAATGTATGTTTGTACTTGAAATAGTATAAAATGTAACTTTTCCATATTTGTAAAACCATCTTTACTAGAAAAATAGTATGCATTTCTCATGAGAGAATATCACTGTATGAGTGTAATGGAAAATGAAGGTTTACAGTAGCATTGTGTAAAAATAAACTATTGATGCATTAACTACCTTATAACCAAATTGGTTAATTTAGGTTAAACGTGATTAGGTTATAACCATGCTTGATTGACTAGTATAAAACACGACGTTCTTCAGGCGTCAAAAAAGGTATGACATTTGTCACCCGTAGACCTCAAGGTCCCACTATAGCTAGTAACAAGGGACGGGATGGTCAATCCCGTATAGATCTATACACAAACTCACGCTATCCCTCCAGGAGACTCTGGTTACAAAACGTGACATAACAAGAATATTGCTATGCCATGAAATAGTATCTCACATTTTAGTTATCTTGTTCTTGTTATAGAATGTAAGTTCCTTTTTGTCCTCGTAAATGAATAGTATACTTTGTAATGAATAGTAATAGTATGTATGTATTGACTCATGTATTGTTTCTCTGTTCTAGCAAATAGTAAGTATTGACTCATGTATAGTTTCTCTGTTCTAGAAAATAGTATGTATTTATCCTCTAAACTATACCTTTTATAGTTTACTAGTATATTTGTTTGAACTGTAAATGATATGTAGAAAAGACTCAATTGCCCAATGTTTGCAACTGAGTTAAGTATGTACTTTGAAAATGGGGTTTAATATTCATATATATTTTTAGCAAGTATAACTATGATTTAGCCGACAGTCAGACTAGTGATCTTACCCTAAGCCCACAACCAAACAAGGAACAGGAGTCAAGGTGTTTAGCAATAGTCCTAAGTTCGTTAAGGCATACATATACATAAATATATAAATGAATACGATTTTGATAATAAAGTGTAATCGAAATAGTTTAAAAGTGTTTTTGCAATGATTTTAACAACAATTATAAGCATAAGAAATCCTTTGTTTGTTTGTTTTCACATGTAAATGTTAGCACAAATGAATTGTGTTCTACTTGTATTCCCCCTAAAAGCATTTAAAAAAGGTAAATTGTAGGGGTATGAACTCAACTTAAGTGAGTGATTCGTTTGGGTGTTCGATATAGGATGATTACTTCCCCAAGTTAGATCCCGAGACAAAACAAGTCCTAAATAGTAATTCATGCGATGTATAGGCATACAATTAGTGAATATAACCTCAAAGGAGTTAAGGAAACAACATATGGTGTAAGAATTACTTACAAAAAGGAGTGTTAGAACCGGAATCAAGAGGCTGCAAGGTGTTCACGGCTGGGATTCGGTGTGTGTACGGCCGTAAACGGTTCACGGCTACTTGATGATTCAAGTGTTTTCGGCTGGAAACAAGTGTTTGATCTTGGTGTTCTTGGTGTTACTAAGAAGATTCAAGGGTTCACGGCTGTAAACCCATAAATGAGGGGATGTTTGATCGATGAAAAGGAAGAACAATAGATGTTCTTAACAAGATCCGAAAGTGGATTGGATGATCCTCGGATGATAGATGAGAGAAAACTTGGGTTTTCGGTTGAAGACTTTGAGAGAAAAAGCTTGATTTTGCGGCTAAAAATGTAGAAGTGAGGATAAATTCAGTCAAACACACACACACTCACACACACACACACACATATATATATATAATATATATATATATATATATATATAATATATATATATATATATATATATATATATATATATATATAGGTAGGGTTTGCGGTCCGAGGAAGGTTCACGGCCAGAAGGAGTTCACGGCTGCAAACCGTTTGCGGTCCGAACCGTTTGCGGTCCGAGGGTTTACCGCCCATGCGAGGGGTTTGCGGCTCTTGTGAAGGTTCTCGGTTTTCAAGGGTTTCCTTCCTTAGACACACTACACCTTTGAATACAAGATCTAAACACATACAACTCATTAATCTAACCATAAAATAATTAAAGAAATAAGTTTGACCTTCATTGGATAAGTTTTGACTTTAGTTGACCAAGTTTGACTTTTACGCGAATGGAAATTACGGGTTGTCATATCATCGCCCCGTTAAAGGGAAATTTTTCTCGAAATTAAGTCTAAGAGATACACGTGGACTAAGGGAAAAGATGAGGATACTTATGTTTCATTTGATCCTCCCGCTCCCAAGTAAATTCAGGTCCCCATTTTGCATCCAGCGAACCTTCACTATCGAGATACGACTTTGTTTCGTTTGCTTGACTTCCCTATCCATGATTTCTACTGGTTCTTCCATGAAGTTGAGGATCTCATTGATCTCGATTTCATCAAGTGGGATAACAAGAGTCTCATCAGATAGATAGTTCTTTAGGTTCGACATGCGGAAGGTAGGGTGTACATTACTAAGTTGCTGAGGTAGTCGGAGTTTGTAGGCTACATGGCCGATTCTAGCGACAATCTCAAAAGGCCCAATGTACCTTGGATTTAGTTTGCCTCGGTTTCCGAAGTGTATCATGCCCTTCCAGGGTGAGACCTTCAATAGAACAAAGTCACCAACCTGAAATTCCAAGGGTTTCCGTCTTTTGTCAACATAGCTTTTCTGTCTGTCTCTGGAGGCTTTCAATCGTTCACGAATTTTAACAATATTTTAAATAGTTTCCTAGATGATTTCTGGACCAGTGAGAGTGCTGTCAGGAACTTGTTCTTTAGCTAGTTTCGTGTCACCCACCTCAGCCCAGCATAGAGGGGATCTGCACTTTCGGCCGTAGAGGGATTCAAATGGACCAACTTTGATGCTTTTATGGTAGCTGTCGTTGTATGAAAACTCGACCAATGGTAGATGGATATCCCACTCTTTACCAAAGTCGATCACACAAGCTCTCAGCATGTGTTCCAACGTTTGTATAGTCCTCTCACTCTATCCATCAGTTTGTGGGTGGTAGGCTGTACTCATATCCAACCTAGTTCCCAGAGATTTTTATAGCGACTGCCAGAATCTTGAGGTGAATCTACTGTCTCTATCAGAGATAATAGATATGGGCACACCATGTAGTCGTACGATCTCCCTAATGTAAGTTGTGGTCAGTTTCTCCATTTTGTCGGTTTCCTTGATTGGCAGGAAGTGTGCGGACTTGGTTAATCTGTCGACGATTACCCAAATGGTATCAAGTCCACCCGTTGTCTTGGGCAACTTGGTTATGAAGTCCATTGTAATCCGCTCCCACTTCCACTCAGGTATCTCCGGTTGCTGTAGTAAACCTGAGGGCTTTTGATATTCTACTTTAACTTTGGCGCAAGTAAGACACTTGCCTACAAAGGTAGCAATATCTGCTTTCATGTTAGGCCACCAATATATCTTTTTGAGATCCAGATACATCTTGTCTGAACCTGGATGAACGGAGTATCGAGTATTGTGCGCTTCGTTCATGACAACATCTCTGAAGCCATCGAACTTCGGTGTCCAGATCTGATCCATGAGGTATAAGACTCCGTCACCCTTGATTACTAAGTTTTTACCCATCCCTCGTAGAGTTTCACCTGTCACACTTTCCGATTTCAAGGCTTCTTGTTGAGCCTCCTTAATTTGTGTGGAGAAATGTGAATGGATTGTCATAGTCAATGCCTTGACTCTACGATCAGAGTATTCTTTCCGACTTAGGGCGTCAACTACTACATTGGCTTTATCGGGATGATAACGAATTTCACATTCGTAGTCATTTAGTAGCTCGACCCACCGTCGTTGTCTCATGTTGAGCTTCTTCTGGTCGAATATATGTTGAAGGATTTTATGATCTGTAAAGATAGTGCTTTTCGTACCATATAGGTAGTGTCTCCAGATTTTCAGAGCAAATACCACTGCTCCTAACTCGGAGATCATGAGTAGTGTAGTTGACTTCGTGCGTCTTAAGCTATCTTGAGGCATAGGCGATAACCTTTCCTCGTTGCATAAGAACACATCCAAGCCCTTGGTTGGATGCATCGCAGTATACCATGAAATCTTCTATCCCTTCCCGGAGGGATAATATCGGTGCGC